ATAATATCGAAATTAAGATTCTAGAGCCGTTAGAAGCTTTTCTAATATAATAAAAATAATCGATATTGTTTTTAATGTTCTGTGGCCCCCACACATACAATATCATTGTGGGGGGGACATTCTGTCCCAAAACCCCCACAATGACATTGTGTGATATGCTAATTATGTTAAATATGAAATAAATAATAATAATAATAAATATAATAAAAATAATATAAATAATATATATTTTAAGTATAATAATAATGATAATAATAAAAGAAATAATATAAATTATAAATATATCATATTTGGTAGATATGTCATATTTGACAAGTTCATTAGTTTTTGCCAGTTTCAACAAAATTGTATAATATTAAAAATATATACTTTAAATAAATTTTTTTTAAATAATTATAACTTTTAAAAAAATATTAAATGCTTATACTTAACAGATATAGTTTAACTATAACAGTTTCTTTTAAATATTATGTAAAGATAGCAAGTTTCATTCAGATAAAGAATATTTAAATTACTATATATCAAATATCATAGCTCATTTAAAATAAAAAAAAATAAGCAAATAAATATAATGAGTAAAAATAAAGTTCTAAATAAGTCAGTTAAGTTAGATTAATCAAGTTACCTGAACTAAAAAAATTAGATCAAATAAAACAAAAATCTGATTTGTTTTAAATTTTCATTTGACTTAATTTGATCTGATTTGAAAAGGAAAATTTTTTCTAATTTAATGATATAAATCGTTTAAAAAGATGATAACTGAATTTAATTGAATTATAAGAAATTATTCAAAATGAATGATAAAAATTTATTTAAATTGAATGATAAGAAATCATTCAAATTAAATAATAATATATTATTCAAATTGAATAATTATCATTTAAATCAAATGATTATCATTCAAATAAATTAATAAGAAATTATTTAAAATAAATGATAAATAATTGTTTAAATCAAACAATTGGTTATTTGAATTTTATCAGGGTAGTTCAGTTCAAGTTGACCTATTAACATAATCTAACATTAATCTAAAAATCTATTGATCTAATCTGGATTTTCAAATTAGATCAGAATAAATAAACAGTTAACTTGACCTAATTCAGAACTTTAGGTATAAATAATAAATTATCTTAAGATATCATTAAAATATATAAAGAAAGCATATTAAATTTTTTTAATATTTATATAAAATAAAAAATAAATTCTAAATTAAATAAATAAAGTAATATAAAGAAGAAATACATTTATTGCAAAAAGGAAAGACTAAACAGCTAACTTCATATAAAGATATAATACTTATATTCTAATCATTTTTATTAAAATATGTGAAAATTTATAAAAAGGAGAATTTTTTTATTATTTTATTTTTAAATTTTAATGTATTGGCTAAGACAACAAAAAGAAGAAGAGTTAGCCAATTTAAAACAGAAGGGAAAAGGGTAAAAATCATAATCAATGGCTATGTAGATGCTAGGAGGATCATTATCTATTGATTCAGGCCACTGATTAGTAGGGATAAAGGAAATTCAAACAATAAAGCCTGGTAGATCAAGATCCATTGAATTTGACTACCTAAGAGGATAATAGTGAATAAATGAATGGTTAAAATAAGGAGGGTAAATGAGGGGTAGAAAAATTAGAAGAAAGAGAAGAAATAGAGGAAGTAGAAGAGGATGACAAAGGGGATGAACTTAATGAAGAGGGGGAAGTGAAGAAGGAGGAGAATGATAAGATGTAAGAAGAGAAAGAAAAGAAAGGTTATTAGGGAAAACAGAGGAAGGTACGAGAATAGGGGAAAGAAATGGGAAGGGAGAAAAGTTTGTGCCAGTGGAGGAAATCGAAAATGTATAAGAAACAGGGAAATATTAGAAGTAGTGAAGCGACGGGAAATGTAGGAGAGTGAGGATAAAAATTTAAGAAGGAGATACAGCTGTAAAAGGGTAGAAGAAGAGGGATCTGAAGGGGATGGAAGAAAGGAAAGTTGTTGAAATATGTCGTCGTCTTGGCGCGACAACTGCATGAGTGATACCTTGAACGTGAACCTGTCAAGTTCTTCGAGTCATTGTTAAAGATTCCTTGAAATAATAAAATTAAGTTATTTTTTGGTTTACTTCTTTGTAAATAATATTTTTAAAAAAAAGAATTGCGAAAAACGATACCCACCAAAAAGTAAAGAAAAGTTGGAATAAAAGTAGAATAAAGTTGCGAGATCCTCTATTTATTTTCAAAAAAAAAAAGTTTGCAATGAATAATCATCATTCGTGAATAACACATAATTACGTTCATACCAAGTGATCTGAATTTTTGTTATATATTTAGCTCTATAAGAATAGCGATTAATTATAAATTGTGTATTTATGAAATCTAATTTTAGTTATACTAAATTTTGCACAAATAAAGCAATCATCTTTTCATATTCCAATATTTTATACAAAGCAAGGGTTTCACAATTTAATTCGCATATGCACATTGAATGACAATAATGCAAAAACTCGATTCTACTCAGTTTGTCGAAAAATCATGTCTTGTTTAAAGATTAAATTTGCTAAAATGTTTGTGATTAAGTTTGCTGCTGAGAATTATGACCGCAGTTAAAGCTGAGAATAAAGCAACACTCAAAACAATTATTGTGAGATTTAACTCACGATGCACACAAATGCCTATATTGGGAAGTGAGAAAGGGTAAGAAAGTTTTATATTGCGAAAAAAATTTAGGGTTTAATCTGAGAGAGAGAAAATAAACCTTAATAGCATAGCAATTGTGTTAATATATATATAGTCTTTTATAAGCTTTGCATTCAACTCCTTTGTTTAATATTAAAAGAAAGTATATCAATAAGAAAATCTTATGGATAATTTACAATTAATAAAGTGTCACTTTAAATTTATAAGCTGTGCTGTAAATGGATTTATTTGTATCAATATTTGCCTTTCAGCGGAATTATTTAACAAAAATCAAATACTTAATGATACAGTGATCTTTAAAGACACTAAAGTTGCAGGACAAAACCTTAATCTATTTGGCAAAAGTCGATAGATGAATTTCAATAGATTTTAAAATTTTGACAATATGACTAATTACAATTTCGATTTAACTAAATTTTAGTGTCATGATTAAGGTTGCAGGGCAAAACCCGAAGGTTTCGACAGGCATCAAAATCGAAACCCGTCGAAACGTTTTGCCTAATAATTATTAAAGGAAATTTGCGAAAGTTTCGACGGGTGGCAAAACCCATCGATATTAAAATACAGTTTTTGGATTTAAAAATTTATTATTTTTGTTTAACGAGATGATCAAATCGTATGTAGCAAAGACCACTTTCTTTTATAATATCATATATTTATATATTTACAAATGATAAAAAAAAAAAAAATCAAAAAATTTACACATTGATAATTAAGTCCAATTACATCATTTATCTCCCATATTTTCTTCATTTAAACTCATGATTCTTATCTTCTTCTTCATCCATTAAACTTTCATTTGAAAAATAATCATCTAGAGGTTGGAACCAGATTCGATATTCGGATTTAAATCCAGATCCGATTTTAAATAAATCCAGATATAAAAACAAAACAAATCCGGTTCTAGCCTCTATCATCATCTTCTTCATAAAGTAATTTTTTCTAATTCTTCAACAAGTACCAGTGCTTCCAAATTAAAACCTGCTCGATAAATAATGTATAATTTTGGAAACTTTGTTCTACTTTAAAATAAAAAATAAAAAAGAAATAATTCGTTTTTATTTTCTACATTGTGATACAATAAACTGTCAAATTCACAAAGTTGTTATCGAACTGTCGAAACTTTCGAGACCCATCGAAATCCATCGTCACCATTTCTACCATGCCAGATTAACAAATTAATGCGCAACATTATTACGTTTATCTCAGACATACCCTCTTGATGCTTCGAATTTGGCGTGCAACCCCGACCTTTTAGCCATATACGATAATTTGTTCATCTATCTTAAAATCAATTAATTAAAGAATAATTTTCAATAGTGAAATGCTTTCAATGTTCATGAAGCGAAAATTCTAAAATATCATATAAAAAGTCATCCTTCATTTCTTCGGCACATAAACGCCAATTGAAATAGCGTACGTTGCTATTTAAGAAAAATGATATTAAATATTCTTATAATCGAAGTCAACTTTATTGCTATGCTAAGTCATACCAAATTTCACCATTAAACCCGTTGTCGAAAGAGCGTCCTATATAAAGTGGTCCGTCATTGAGAGTATCTTTCCGTTTTAACGTTTGGATACAATAGAACCCGACCCATTCACTGTAGATATCTAATCTTTTTTCAGAATCAGAAAGCGTATAAGCTAGATGGTACCAAAAGTCCATCGCAGAACTAATAAATTCCGGTCCAGTTGCCTGTAAATCGAGCCTAGGTGTTCGTATAAACGCTTCAGTGCCTAAATGTATATCCGTTTATTTGAGGCCGAAAAACAAGATTCTAGAAAAGAGCTTTGACCTACCTTTTGAATAATAATAGTCCAATTGGATGAATGACTCTGAAGTTTTATCATAACGTAACTGATAACTCATCTGTCACCGTGGGAAATTTAGCAAGGTAATAGAGTCTGAAATAAGCTCACCCACTCTTTAACAATAAATTTTTTCATTTTCCGAAGAAAGCTATAAAATTATCGAAGTACGTTTCATTTCATTAAGTAAAAAGGTGTAATTAAATGCATATTGTGAAATGCATGGTTTTTTACCTGTGGAAATTTGTAAATGCTGTGTTTTGTAAACTCAGCCCTTTATAAACGAACTCACATCCCTTAATTGTTTTAATGTTTTTATACATGAAATACCAAAGTTACGTCAATATGATGAAAGTAATGAAGAGATAGTGTTTTAGAGCATGGTATAGAAGAAACTGCAGAAAAAGCTCCAGCTCCAGAACATGAAGACATAGAAAGAAGCTGCGTATACAGTTATTGTAAATTGTGCTGGAAATAAGTTGCGACCAGTTAGCTAAATATATACGGTATAGATTATTCTGCAATTTTTATAAAGACAATATATTTTGGGTAAAAAAAAATTATTCCATTCCAATGAAGGTAAAGACTAACCGCGAGATGAATGTGAGAATGTGAATGAAGGATAAATTTAGGCGTAGCATTATTATATTCTATAATAAAAGCGTCACCTAAAAAGCAGCAATTAGTACAAAATAAACAAATCATTGTGAACAGAATCTCAGTTTTATTACAAATAAAAATATTCAATTAATCATTTGCTTTGATATAAATTGTCGATAATTTGCCACGATACAGTTTATTGGGTAAGTTTTATCATGCCTGCTTGAACCTACGGTTCGAAAGAATTACAGAAAATCGTAATCTTTTATTTTTTTGATAAAAGGCCAAAGGTCAAATTATAAAAATTTTAATTTAATAGTAAAATATTACGTTCGTTAAATAAAGTATTTATTTATAAAGTTATTAAATTATGTAATATCTGCTTAAACAGGCAACACAAGCTAAATATAATTTGTTATAAAATTTCTAATTCATCCTGATCCTCCGTATGAAGGTTTGGATTATTATACATCTCATCATTTAGCAGTAAAAAATAAAGATTATTAATTATTAAACAAATTTTAATTAACTTGCAAAAAAATTAAATAATTATTATTATGTTTTAAATCACTATTTTCTGTTCGAGATAATAAATACGTGCAAATTTTTAATTTATAAATTATTTTCAAGAAATCAAAATTAATATTTAAAGTTTATTTATTCTTTTTGTTTAAAAAGTATTTTTTAGTTCATATTTTGCATCTATAAGTATTTATTTGTAAAATTTAACTTATAAACTATAAAGCAAATAACATAATAATAATAATACATACCAGTTAGCTCATTCCGCCGCCGCCTAGTTGGGTCTTTGAATTAATTTATAATTATTAAAATATATTTTATTACAATTTGGGATATTAAGATTATTTTGTTTACTATCATAACTTTTTTTTGAAAAGTAACAAAATAAATATAGAATAAATTGAAGTTTAATAACATTTTAAAATCTTTACCGTCCTGTTCTTCTAAAAAATAAAACAAATTAAATTAAAATTATTTTAATTATCAATACAATGTATATTTTATGGTTACCTTACCGTTTCTTGGTACGGGTAAATTTTTAAAAATATGAATTTTGCTAAAATTACTAGTTATCAAGTTAATCGAATTAGAATCTGTATCAAAATTTGCGTTTAATAATGCATTACCATTGCGTTCGTTAATTTCATTTTGACAATATAACTTTTTCAATTCTAAAATTTCTTGAGCAAGTGTATAAATATTTGGTCTTTTTAATGGATTAGCATCCCAATATTGTTCTATAATTTCTTATATTTTAATGGAGCATCAGGCATTAGTTTAGGTCTTAAACCATTTATTATTTTCATTGCAAGATCATAATTATGGTCAAAATTAGCAAATGGTGATTGTCCCGATGAAATCTCCCACATGAGAATACCGAAACTATAGATACCTGATGCAAAAGTATATTCTTTACCGTAAATAACTTCAGGTGCTATGTAAGGAAGATTTCCATATACGCTTCCTTGGCAGGACCACAAATCCAAAATCACTAACGTACCAAATTTTAGTATCTTTCGAATTTCCAGAATGTAAATCTCGATGAATCATATAATCATCATGAACTTTAAGGATTGCACTAATTATATTATGAATGATATAAATTCTTTCTTTCCATATGAATTGCTTATGATTTCGTCAAATAATTTCTTAAATTTATATCCATTAAAAGCATTACAAGAAAATAATCTTTATTTGAAAGACCAAAACTTATAACGATTTCTGAGCATTTACAGCTGAAGGTTAATTGATATTTAGCCTATAAATAAATAAAAAAATTGAATATTGAGATAAAATTTTTTTAGAATTTAAATAAAAAAAATATTGTTAAAAAACAAATTGATGGAATTTATGGTAATTACTTTTAAATACATACCTCTTCAAACCAACTTCTATTAGCACTTTCGACATTTACTAATCTTTTAAGTATTACTTGTTGCGTTCCGATCCTTTGTAATTGTTGATTGCTACAATCCCAATCATAATAAAATCCTCCGATCCAATCTGCTACAAAAATTTCAGAGAATCCACCTTTGGTAAGAAATTTAATATTTGTAAGTTACTGTATGGAATCCATTCAAGTATTCTAAACGGAACCATCACTTTCAACTGACATTTTTTTATTAAATGATCAATTTCATCATTTCCAGACGACCAGTTTGAAAATTTCGTTTTTAAATAAATTCGAACGCAAAACTCACAATATGTTATCGCAAATCATTCTTGTCGGCAGTATTCACAAGTTTTTTTTTATTCCTCGGCGTAAAGCAAATTTATAGGTTTCATAGAGCTCAAATAATTTTCTTAAAACCTCTGATATTTATTTCATAGGGGATTCTTTAGTAAGAATTGTTCGTTGTTTGAATTCATGATGTTTTTATGCATCCGTTGAAAGTTTGCATCTATTAATGCAATACTCTAGTTAATGTAACATCAACATTTTCTTTACGAATGAAAGTCATCATACTATGAAATAAAAATTTTTTTTCAAACCAATTGAATATGATCGACAAAATCATTGTGCGCCGAGACATTAATTTTCAGGTGGTACGTTATGCATTACATGCATGCATTATTTATATTACTTATTACCCTTTTTTTGAAGTTTTTTTTTTTTACAACATAAAGTTTAAAATGGTTTGGGGGAATTTTAAAAATAACCGGAAATCTACAAATATGTACATTTTTAATGAAATAATAATAGGCCATTGATCGAGATTTATTTCACGTATTTCTTATTTCGGAAGAGAATACGATCTTTAAGATTTTGATTTTCCGCATTTTCATTCATTTATTACCCTAAAATAGAATGATGGGTCTAGCATGCGTCGAATGAAATGAAGTACATTTGTCATTAGGTCATCCTGGATATTTCGAACAATTAAATTAATATTTTGGAATCTTCAAATTTACCAAAATGTTGCACTACCGTAATGAATTTAAATAAGTCTGGAAAACAAAAGTTTTATGAATTTTTTTTCTCTGATTATGTAACGTTTGTGCCAGCATGGCTTGATAACAACAATAATTACAACTACTAAAAATGAACTATTTTTTTTTTTTTTTTTTTTTTTTAAATATATATATATTTTTATGAAATAGAATAAAAATCGTACTTCGATAATGGAAAAATCCGTCGCTAAGTTTTGTTAAAAAAAAAAAAAAAATTTCAGGAACTATATAACTTAATACTTTTATATATTTAATACAATCAACATAAACTTAAACTAAAACATTTGTTTTTTTTTTGACGCCATGAAACCATTCTCATTAATTTCAACTTGCTTGTTCTTTTCTCTCACACTATTCTCGATTTCATCGACCTCAGCACAATGCATTGATCAACCATCACCCATTAAACCAAGAAATAAAATGGCAGTAGCATGCTCAATGGTGAAGCAGCCGAAGAAAAATTTAAAATTCCATGTATCAAATGAAACGAATATGTTTGATCTTCAATTCTTTTGTGAAATTCAAGATAAAGCATTATGTGCAAAAGCAAAATCCTCTTTCGAAGAAGCAGGTCGTATAATAACATCGACTTTAATATTAAATACACCAATTATAATCAATGCAACGTTTCAAGATATGGAAGATCCAGGAATATTAGGAGCCGCAGGACCTTTAAGATCAATACCAATGAAAGATGATGATGGAATTGAAAGGTTGTATCCTCAAGCTTTAGTAAAACAATTTCAACTTGGTTCACATCCTGAATTTGCTCCTGTTGATATTGTTGCCGACTTTAATTCATTGGTCCCATTTTGGTTTGAAGGTGATCCTCCGATCACCAATAAACAAATCGGGTTCTTGGAATTAATATTACATGAATTGATGCATGGACTTGGATTTAATTCGGCATGGTCTGATAATTTCCCTCAAGCTGCTACACCCGAAATCATTGGTTTAACAACAGAACCTGGTATCACCGATTTGAACGCTACGATAGTTTTTCGAGGATTTCAAGAGAGGGCTTTGGACAAATATTTAATCTTATTACCAGATAATAAAACAACAGCATTTTATGCGAACGAACTGAATAAATTTGCTAACGGATCAACTTTTAAAAACGTTGATGACTTTTCAGATAAATTTATCGCTTCACCGCAATATTTAGTTGGCAAGGAAATATTTAGTTATTTCGTCACACCTAAATCTCTGGTTTTCAAACCAAGCGTTAGTGATAAAGAAGAAGATATGACATATTTAGAAACTTCTCTAAATCCTTTTGAACGAGGTACAGCGAATACACATGATGATGAGATCGTGATGGTTGATATAATGATAATGCTTACATCAAATTTTTATTTTCATCAGGTTCCAGTATTTCTCATGTTGATATTGCGATGTATACTAATACCAGTGAATTCTTGATGACGTACCTACAAGAATCAGGTCGAACCCTCAATGATTCCATTAGAATAGGTGGAAACTTTGCCG